CTCTCTTATTTAAGCATGGCTTAAATGGTTGGCTGCTTGGGGTTGGCTGAGACCAAGGAGAGTAGGGTACAGTCTATTTGCATATCAAGTTTGATTATAATTTACCATGTACAGATAAACCTTAAGCCAAAGTTGAAGTATATGTATATACATATACATATATATATATATGTATATACATATACTACCTGTATATGTAGTAGGTTTATGTTTCTGTATTATAGTTAAAATAACTGAGAGTATTAAAAGTTAGCACCAGTTGCCCAGGGCCAAAGTTTAATGGCAGATGAGACTTGCTCCAAGGCTTATGGTTTCTATTCCAAGGAAGAAGTCTCGGGGCCTTTTCATCTTCTGTCCTTAGCTGCATCGTTTTGTCTTACCTCAAGCCTTCCTGTTACAAGTACTTATATCTGTTCTCCACTGAGAATTAAATACAACACACCATACGACCCCAAAACCCACGGTGACCCAGTCACAAGCCTGGGCCATTGGGTGTAAAAAAACTGACCTCCTGTCTCTGTGAATGGTTTCACAGACACAGCCTTCGCTGCATTTGGGAATAGCAGGTCCTCCTGGTGGCCCTTAGCCTGGCTCATGCTGGGAAACACTTGGAAGGGGATTTTATCTGGCAGTGGCGGGGAAGAGAAGAGAGTGAGGTGGGATGGTGCTTCATTTTTGTTCTCACTTGGGAAGCTGCAAGTTTCCTATGCTCCCTTGGAACCAAAGCTGTGTTTGGACTAAATGAGAGATCTCCAGGGAACAAAGGCTAAAGGGCAGGCATTTTTCAAAAACATCTTCTGTTGTAGTCCATCAATGTCTCTTCTCTGTCCTCCTCCAGAACACTCTCCTTTTTTTTTTTCCTGTCCTCTCTGACCCTAGCAGAATTACCTCCCCCAGCTGCTATCTGAAAAAACACTCTTAACCTTATTATAGGCATTGCTTGCCAGGTCATGGGAAGGCCAGGCCCCCGAGGAACTAGTTAGATGTGCCCAAGGGGTCGGGATACTGATAATGGGTATGGGGGTCAGTTGTGGGAATGGGAGTCCAGGGCGGGTTGCTCCTCTGCTTCCAGTTCTGAAGCCCAGGGATGTTCCTAACAGCACAGTAGCTAGTACTTGGTAGGCCTGGCTCTTACAATCAATTGCACAGGCAGGTGGAATCTGTGGTTACTCTTAGGATTTTAGAGTCAAAGTCTACTAGAATTTTATAGGAGAGAGAGCAAGGAAAGGGCAGATATCAAGGGAAGCTACAGAGTAAGAACTGTTTTTTTTTTCTTGCTAAAATGGAAAAAAAAATATCAGTAGTGAGTCCTTCAAAGGTCCTATGGCCACTGAACTGATTAATGCAGCTTTGTCCCGTAGTCAGGGGTATCTCTTCTTCCTTCCTCTGCCATCACATCGTAGGACTTTCATCTTGCCGTCCTAGGACTACTCTACTGAAGTCAGACCTGCAAATTAAGTTGTGTGACAGGAAACATAGGTAAAGAAGCCACATTCCTTCAGGACCAGGGCCTTGTCATCTGTAGTAATTTGAATAAAAATGGTCCTCATAGGTCCATAGGGAGTGACAGGCACTATTAGGAGGTGTGGCCTTGTTGGCGTAGGTGTGGCCTTGTTGGAGGAAGTGAGTTACTACTCAGTGGCTCAAGCCAAGCCCAGCGGGTTCACAGTCTCTTTCTGCTACCTGCAGATCCAGATGTAGAGCGCTCAGCTTTTAATAAGGAGTTTAGAGTAAAAAGAATGCAGCATACTGGCATTGTTATTAAATTTAACAGATCTACAGAACAGTTTCTAGGTATTAAGAGCTGTTCTATGAACTTGATATATATATTTTTAATTTTTCCCAGCAGTCATGTGGGAAAGTATCATTGTTTCCTCTTGGAATATGAATCCCAGATTAGTCCAGGTTCATATAACTAATGAGGTGGATGTATACTGTAATATCTATATGTAGGCACAACATACAAGTAAGTGCTCTGAGGGCAAAGGCAAGTTTAGAAAATACCTATGGAGCTCTTATGTGCTTAATGGGTCCCCAGATTTAACCAGTTATGGCCCCTGACCTCAAGGAGCTTCAGGTTTGAGGGGAAGATGTACAAAATATAACTGCCTTCAATACAAGTCTAGGTTCAGGAAACCAAGGACAGTGGTGAATGGAGGAGGTGAATGGACAAGGACCATGGAAATCTGGGAGGGCTGTGTATGAGCTTATGAGCTCTAACCAGGAAAGAAGGTCATAAGCAAAGCTAGCAGGTCTGAAAGGAGATAGCAACAGTTGGGTCTTTGACCTAGGTGCACATGGTATCTCTTTGGCTAGAACTAAGGTCATGAGTACAAGGCTGTCTCAGGCAAGTGGAATGCTGTAGGACCTGCCACTAGATGCTTTTTGAATAAACAAAACACAGATTAATGAATGTTAGTGGAATATTTAGAATGGGCACAAGTCATGCAAAATGGCCAATGAACCCTAAGGATCTACTTGCGTGCCCCTTTCCAGAGCTGAGATTGTACACGTGTCTCATTGTATCCAGCTTCTCCTTCCCCCTTTTGACACGAATATTGGGGATCCAACATAGGTCCTCATGCTTGCATCCCAAACACTTTACTGTGTAAGTCATCCTATCAGTCCCCAGGCATGGAGTTCCAATGCTTGTTTGGAGTTGGAAGAGTAGGAGAAAAGGGAGATTGAAGAAGGGAAATGTCCATGAGGAATCCACAGAGTTGAGATTTATATATTTTGGACTAAAGGTAAAAGTAGAAGGAAATAGGAGATATCAAAGTTCTTTGGGTTTTGGTTTGGTTTGGTGTTTGAGACAGGGTTTCTCTGTGTAGCCTCAGCTGTCCTGGAAGATGTCAAAGTTCTTACGAGTAAATATTTACAGTTGCCAGAGTGCCCTTTCCACATGCTACCCACAAGAGCAATGCTTTTTACTGTTCTCCTTATCTGTTCGTGGACACTGATATTGTGTTGCAATAATCATCACTACTTTGTAGGGAGAAATAGTGAGGCTCCCAGAAGTTTTGAAGCTGTGTCACTCAGGTGCACAGCTGGCCTTGGAATGTGAGGATGAGTCCTCACCTAACTCCCTAGTTTATGTCGGTGCCTGCTCCTTGCCTGTGAGGTTAACTTCACTGGGCATGTCTGCTATTAGCCTCGTAGCCCCATTGATGTAAAAATCAGAGCATCCCTGCCAACCACTCCAACTTTTCCCTAGTCTTGGGGTCAGGACCGAGAAATAACCGTTGCCTCCTTACATGGGCAGCTGAATCTTAGAAGCTCTTCCAAAGCCAGTACTGAGTGCGATGTCAAGGGGATTTTTGCTCTATTTATCTTTTAAATTCTCCTCTGACAAAGCTCCTACACCTGGGGCTTTTAAAAGCTCCAAGAGTGAAATAATGGGTGGAATTTGCAAGGGGGGGTGGGCGTAGGGGAGGCTTCGAGAGTTGCTTGTGTCAGCAGCTGCTGCCAGCTTTGACGATGTCCCTTCTTGGCAGATGGGAATCTTAGGAACTCACCCTGATAGGCAGAGAAGAAATAGAGCAGCCAGCAGGCTTCAGTGGGCTGAAGGTGGTGTTGGGCTCACCCAAGGGTTTAGGGAGCTGGGGCTGCTCTCGTTATTGGTTATTGTAATCCGTAAAATGAGGATATAGAAAAGAACTCACATTTTACTGAGTTGTGTGCATAGTGAATTAGTAAAATTCACATAGTTTTGTTGTTGTTTTACAAACTGGGGACCAAACCTAGGCAACAGGGGATGGAAGCAGATGCTCAGCCTCACAAACCTAGGCCTTTCTGTATGCCAGGTAAGTACTCAACCACTGAGCTACATCACCAGCTCCAATTCATAGTCATATAAACATCTATATAACAGCATAATGTTCAGGTAAGTGCACAGTGTATGTGAACTAATGTGACTAATACTCTTGCAAATGATTTTGTACTATATTTTCAATGCTAGACACAGGTTAAACTCAGGGCTTTGTGCATGCTAGGCAAGCGCTGTACCATTGAGCTGTACCCCAAGCCGTTAGAGGGCTTCTTTAAAAGAAAATGGAGTTGAAACAGCATGTCTTTTCTCATAGAATGTGCCAGGGGATGAGATGTATTTAGTCGAAGGGGCAACAGCACCGCCAGATTTAGCTAAAATGCCCCATCCCACATAGCTTGAGTTAAAATGTAATTTTAGATAAACAAATCTATCTATCCATTTTTCAACCATTTACCCACCTACCTACCTACTGTGCCACATACATTACTTTTGGTATTTCCACACAGTACAAATGATGAGGTCTTTTATCTGGGAACTTTGTTGGGGGCTGGAGAAGAGAAGGAGATGGCCGATGAAATCTATATTTATACCTAGAAGAAACAGGTCAGCACATTCATAGTATTCCATGCAACCTCTCTTGTGCTGGATTTCCAGACAGTGGAAGGCCAGATAGGGTGGCCTCTCTCTACAGCCTCTGTCTGTCTCCAGTGGCTGAGACCAGACAGCCATCTCCCCACATTGTTCCAGCCCATGAAACTGGAGACTGTGTCTGCTCGTTCTGAAGTTACCCATACATCTCTTAACCCCGCCTTTCACCAAACACACAGGCTAGCAAACACAAAGGCAGGGGGTTGAGGGTTAATGGCAGAGGAGCAGGGAAAGGATTAGAGTTTTATCAAAATAGCATCTGCAAAGATCCATCTAGGATAGACATCGTTTGGAGCATGTCTATGGCTAGGGGCCAGGCCTGGGGCAGGGGTGGGAAACACCAGCTGTCCAGGGAAGGAGTGGTCCCTTGGGAGGGGAGCTTTGCCAGGTGCATGCGGCTTGGAGTGAGTAGGCTTTCCTTTTTCACTTCTCAGGCCTCCTGCTCTACATTTTTTTTTTTTTTTTTTTTTTTTTTTTAAAGAGAGCCTTTTTGGTCAAACAGTTGCTTTTCAATCACTCAGAAACAAGAGCTCGCCTAACCAGGATATTAACACTGTTGGGACTTGTACGCACCTGTGTCTGGGAGAGACTGTGGCCCCTCCTGAGGGTAGGAAAAGCTTTCAGGTCCAGGTCCAGAACTCTGTGACTTTGACAAACTCCATCTCCATTTTGGGAGCCTTCTTTGCCTGTGCTGTAGGCTGGCTTGAAACCAAATCAGACTTGACGATAGGAACCACGATGTTTTATTTCTCAAGATCACAGTGGTCCCTTGTTTTTGATGCTGAAAGTAATGTTCTTCATTGTGTGCCCTTGTGTAGCAATTTGAAGTTTCTGTGTTTTTTTTTTTTTTTTTTTTTTTTTTTCTTGCTGGTTGCTGAGCTCACCGATACTGTATGTTGTCTTTCTGCATCATGTCTCCTTATTAGTAAAGGACAAAGAGGTCAGGGCTGATCACCTGAAAATAGAGCATTTTGTGGTGAAAGACTTTTTACACATGACATCGAGGGAAGAAATAAGAAGTGTGCAAAGATCGTATTAAGAAATGTGTTTCCACAAACACTGAAGATTACATGTCTTAAAATACCATGCTAAAGGCACACGGGATATTTATTATCTATATTATTCATATAAAGAGCCTTTGTAATTAACAATGAAGAGAGCAGACAAAACTAACAAAGAAATTCAAATGACTAATAAATATACGTCAAAAAGGTCTGATAGGTAACGGAATAAATTCAGGTTGAGTTGACAACCTGAATATTGTTAAAAATCTGTATATGCATGTGTGTGCAGGTGTGTGGTTGTGTGTATAAGTATGTATACAGATGTGTAGAGGCCAGAGAATGAACTTCAGTGTCATTTTTCATGAGTCCATCTTTTTATTTACAGTAAATAGTTATTATTATTATTATCATTTATTACAATTTATTCACTTCGTATCCCAGCTGTAGCCCCCTCTCTTGTCTCCTCCCAATCCCACCCTCCTTCTCTCATCTCCTCCCATGCCCCTCCCCTAGTCCACTGATAAGGGAGGTCCTTCTCCCCTTCTCTCTGACCCTAGCCTATCAGGTTTCATCAGGACTGGTTGCATTGTCTTCCTCTGTGGCCTGTCAAGGCTGCTCCCCCTGCTCCCCTGCCCGGGGAGTTGATCAGAGAGCCAGCCACTGGGTTAATGCCAGAGAAAACCCCTGCTCCCCTTACTAGGGACCCGACTTGGAGACTGAGACTATGGGCTACATCTGAATCAGGGTTTTAGGTTATCTCCATGCATGGTCCTTGGTTGGGGTATCATTCTCTTCAGGGCCCCCAAGGCTCAGTTTATTTATTATTATTATTATTATTATTATTATTATTATTATTATTATTATTATTATTTACTCTTTTGGAGCTCCTTGTCCCATCCAGGCCTTTCTATCTCTCCCTTCTTTCATAAAATTCCATGCATTCTACCCAAAGTTTGCCTATGAGTCTCAGCCTCTGCTTTGTTACTTTGATCAGTAGAGTCTTTCAGAGGCCCTCTGTGGTAGACTCCTGTCCTGTTCCCTGTCTTCTGCTTATGATGTCTATCACATTTGCCCTTCTGAATGAGGATTGAGCATCTTCCCTAGGGTCTTCCTTGTTGTTTAGCTTCTTTAGGAGTATAGATTTTAGTATGTTTGTCCTATATTATATGTCTAATAACCACTTATGAGTGAGTATATACCATGTGTGTCTTTCTGTTTCTGGGTTACCTCACTCAAGATGATCTTTTCTAGTTCCCATCATTCGCCTGCAAATTTCATGATTTCCTTGTTTTTAATTGCTGAGTAATATTCCATTTTGTGAATGTACCACAATTTCTGTATCCGTTCCTCTGTTGAGGGACATCTGGGTTGTTTCCAGATTCTGGCTATTATGAACAGAGCTGCTATGAACATGGTTGAGCAAATGTCCTTGTTGTATGGTTGAGCATACTTTGGATATATTCCTAGGAGTGGTATAGCTGCATCTTGAGGTAGCATTATTCCTACTTTTCTGAGAAAGCACCAGATTGATTTCCAAAGTGGTTGTACAAGTTTACATTCCTGCCAGCAATGAAGGAGGGTTCCCCTTTCTTCACATCCTCTCCAGCATGTGTTGTCACTTGAGTTTTTGATCTTAGCCATTCTGATGGGTGTAAGGTGAAAGAGATCTCAGGGTTATTTTGATTTGCATTTCCCTGATGTCTAAGGACATTGAATATTTCTTTAAGTGTTTTTCTCTCCATCTTGTTTTTGAGACAGTTTCTATCATAGGTCTGGAGTTCCATTTTTAAACTGGGCTAGCTGGTCAGTGAGCCCCAGGAATCTTTCTCCACCTCCTAGGCACTGGGATTACAGATATGTATTACCATGTATATCTATCTATCTATCTATCTATCTATCTATCTATCTATCTATCATCTATCTATCTATGTAAGTATCTATCTATCTATCTATCTATCTATCTATCTATGTATCTATCTACTATCTATCATCCATCTATTATCTATCATCTATTTATCTGTCTATCAACAAGCATCTATATTTATCTATCATGTATCTATTTATCACCTATCATCAATCATCTATCTATTTATCTAACATCTATGTATGTATGTATGTATGATTGTATCTTTATGTGGATTCTGGAGATTGAACTCAGATCCTCATGCTTGCTGGCACTTTACCAACCAAGCTATCTCCCCACTTCTAGGCATTGCTTTTATATCTAAAACACAATAAAAATATCTTCTAAAAAGTCAGTACCTAGTGTTGGAAGAAGCAGGCCTTCTCACACACTACAGGTTTTAGCATTTGAATGGACAGTGTCTTGGAAGGATGATGAAAGAAGTAAAGAAACAAAGATAAAACTCTTCCCCACCCCACCACTCAGCCCCTTTGAACTGGTTCTTCTAGTCCCAGAAGCCTAGAGAGTAATGTTTTATGCCAGAATCCAGTTGAGAGGTTGCTTACTGTAACACTGCATATGATGAGAGAAATCTTGGTGGTTTTGTTCAGCAGCTCAGCTTTGGTTTTTGAGGATCACAGTGCATGGATCACTGGGATAGTATATAGATAGAAGAGAGTAGCCCGTAGGCATCTCCATGAAGTAAGAATTTGGGTTCTAGATCTCTCACACTTTTGCCTAAAACAGTAGTTCTCAACCTGTGGGTCATGACCCCCATGGGTGGGGTCTCAGAGCAGATATTTACATTATGATTTATAACAGTAGGAAAATTACAGTTATGAGGTAGGAACAAAATAATTTTATGGTTGGGGGTCACCACAACACCAGGAACTGTGTTAGAGGGTCACAGCATTAGGAAGGTTGAGAACTACTGTTCTAAAATAACTAGAACGTTTGTTGTTACCTCTCAGAGGTAAAAGAGTGTTGCAAAAGAATTATTTTAACTAGTTTATTGAGAAAATAGATTTTATAATGTTGGGGATTATAAGATAGTTCCAGTCAAGAACAGTTTCAAATTTTTTAGTTCTTCCTCAAAACAAAAAAACAAAAAGACTAAGATAGCGAATGCATAGTTTTTTGAATTGAAGTCACAAAATCGATTGTTTATTTGGGCCTGGTGTTGTTTGCTCATAATTGAAGCTTCCTGTCCATTCTGGTCTATAGTGAATTCTGGCCCAGCTGATACTATATAGCAAGAACTTGCTTCCAAAGAAAACAGAGAGGTTATTATTCTTAAAAAGTTCACCATTGCCAGTCCAACTACTTTGTAAATACTTATGGTTAGGTCCACAAACCAGTGATGTAGGTTTTATGGAGAAGATTCCTTTTGTTTTGTGGGTATCATTTACTCAGACACTCAACTGCGCGAGGTGCTGAGAATAAGTGACTGTTGAATCCTCATAAATGAGGCATCCTTATCACCCTTTCTAAGGTAGAGTGAGCATTACAAAAGAATGTGAGCCAGAGGAAAGGGCGGAAGCTACGGGCCTCTGTGTTCTAGGCATGCCATTGTACTCACAAACTCACAGCAGTTATGATTCCCTGTCCGTGACTCACACAATTTAGAGCCATCAACATTCCCTCCTCATGGATGGGCCTCAAGGGGCTTATGAACCCCCAGACCCTCCCTGAGGATTGATAGACAGTTAACAAAGGTTGCTGGGACAGAGGGTGTGAGATTTTCTTTAGTGATATAACTGCTGTTAAACTACCCATTTCCTGTAAATAACCTCGTATCATGTTCCTGTAAGCAATTCTAATCAAACTCACCAACTGAGTCACAAAACAACAAAACCAAAAACAAAATATGAAAGTAAAAGGAAGAAAATAATGAGGGTGGATATGATCAAAATATATTATATACGTGTGTGAAAATGCCATAATGAAGTCCACTACTAAGTACAATTAATGTTAATAAATACTAATGAAAAGATACACATTCATAATAATTATTCTTGATATATAATAATGTACTTTTATTATCGTGTCACTAGTTTTATGAAGAATATTTTACAATGTTGTCTTAGTATTTTAATTTTAAAATATTTTTAAGATTTTCTTTAAACTTATATTTTGTATTTAACGTATTTGGTGCTGACACCAATAAAGCATGCTGACATCATAAAAGCATGATGCACATAAAAGAATCAGTTATGAAAATACTCTCTGAAATACTTGGTGAAATTATGTTATATAAGATATTTCAAATTGTAGTTGTTTTATAGTATCTAAAATTTCAACCCCAAATCATCAGTTGGGCTCTTGGCTGCCTCTCAGGGGTTAAAGGCAGGTGGAAGATACTGCATAGTTAGGACAAAAGCCTCACGTGGTTCAAGTTGGAGCTAACTTGAATGCTTCTTTTGTGCAGTCTACTCCCACAGTTCCAGAAAACACTATCCAAACTGTGAAGGGAAGTAAGCGATTAAACAGTCCTCTATAGCTGCAATAACACCAACAACAGTACCCAGCATGGCAACCTGTTGGTGGCAACCAACAGCTGGCTACTTGCACTCCAGGCCCACTAAACAGGAGGAAAATCAGGCCTGGTGCCAGGAACCTAACCAGGGAAATCACGGTCCTGAGAAAATTATCTACTACCGTCACTTTGCTAGACAAGCATAATTCCTAACTGCATTCTAAATCTTGTTTTTATACCCCCAGGTAGGTATAGCAAGAAATAATTGTATAAGGAAAACATGTCAAAAAATTGTGTTTAAGCATTCATGTGAATGCTTAGACAAACTTAGAGCCCATTAAACGACAGCCCCCAGTCCTGTTCTGTCTCTGTGTAGATTATACATTTATTCAGTGCAAAATGGAAACTCCTTGTGAAGATTCTTTCTATGAGTTAAAAAAATCCCAAACTTAGGCTGGAGAGATGACTCAGTGGTTAAGAGCATTTGCTGCTCTTCTGGCTGACCAGGGTTCAATTTCTAGGACCCACATGGTAGCACACAACTGCCTGTAACTCTGATTCCAGGGTATCTG